TCTTACTGGTTTCTCTTTATTTGAATCTGGCTTTTTGCCATTACCAACAGGCATAGAAAGGATAGTTTCTCCATTCATTATTATGGTAATTTCTGGAGACAAGGAAGTAATATACTAGGCCTGATTCTAATGACCTTATTTACATGGGTATAAATCCAAAGTAATGCCACTGAAGCCCATCTAGTTATACCAACATTAATGAGATCAGGATCAGGTCTGGTGTGCTTATACCATCAGCTCAGTGGAGTTGTAGGGTATATACTATATGTTCATATAGGATTATATAATTATCATTTCCCACAGTACCTCTTAAAGTAATGTATGGGTTACAAAGTCTGAAATAGATGGATAGTTGTTAAAAATCACTTTGTTATTATGAGCAAATTAAAAAAAAAATCTGACAGACAATTCTCCACTCTACTACCTTTCAATGATGTTCAAGTTTCAGAATAGCACTGTCAGGTTTAAAGAGTACTTAGTCTAAAAATAAGATGAGTGATTGCAGTGTTAATCCAGATGGAACATCTGTTCACTGAAAATAATATTTGTAATAAATTGTACTTTTAATGTCCCCCCCCCCCAAACCAAAAAGGCACATAACATCTAAATAATTTTGCCCAAACACTTAAGTCGATTTCCAAATAATTGAAAATATTGGAAAGGTGAGAATAATATTGAAAATGAATTTAACACCCCCCCCAATATTTGGCATTTATATATATATAGATTTTTATTGTGGATTTAAAAAGCACTTTACAAAGGGTGGGTAATATAATTATCTCTGTCTTACAGATGGGAAAAGTGAGGTGCAGAGAGTGGAGGGTCTCACAGCAGGTCAGGAAAACAAGGATTAACAGTATCCTTTTACAACAGGGTTCCCAAACTTCTGAAAGTTGAATCCCCCCTTTCAGGGAAATGAAATCACTTCTGCTTCTCCACCTCCCTCAGATAATTCTTAGCATCTTTTCCCATTGTGGAAAATGTTAAGGTTGATCTAGAATATGATACTTCCTCTCATGCTTTAATTAGCAATGAAATAGTTAACAGTGCTCACCTTTAAAGTATCCCTCCTGGGATCTGAGTTAGCATTCACTGAAATGAATGGTTAAGTTCTCACCTTGGAGAACTTTTTCTAGGCTCTCTGCAAATTCAGGCAGCTTCTCTGTATCAGATGAACTTCTTGTTTTGAAGATTTTCTTTGCAACCATAACAGATAGAAACTTACTTTTAAAAAAATAAAATAAAAACTGACGCTCTGGAGAACAACTAAGAGATCTGTCCAGACTCCCTTCCCCCTTACTGAGGGTACAGCCCACACTTCAGGAAACAATAATGAAAAGAATAGTCTGTTTTAGCAAAAGTCTGTATATTGAAAGATGTGATTTTCTGGGTAACCTACCTGGTGTTTGCTATTTCATTCCTGACGATCAAGATGGTTCATATAACCAGTGTAGAGAGAAGGCACCACAGAGTCAAGGAGGCTCAGACAAATCCTGTCCCACTTGCGACTGGGACTCCAGAAGAGAAAATGGCCTGAAAGCCTTCTGATTGAAGTAACGGTTTTGATCCCAATTGCCAGAGCAACAAAAAAGGCATTTCTTTGCAAAATACAAAATAGAGGCCAGGAAAGGTCACCACAGACCTTTTGAATATATCAGAAAACAGATACTCCCCCCCGCCAGAGTATAGGGAGTAGAAGGCTGAAGAAAAGAGTTAGAGAGGGAGTTTCAAGGGGGAAGAGTGTGCCCAGCCAGCAGGGCCGGCTCTACCTTTTTTTCCGCCCCAAGCAGCGAAGTGCCAAAAAAAAAAAAAGTGGAAGCCAAAGAAGAAAAAATAAAATAGCTGCCACCAAAGTGCCACCAAAGAAGAAAAAATAAACCGCAGGGCTGCCGAGGGAGCGGTGTCACCCCAAGAACGGCCAAAGTGCCGCCCCTTCTGATTTGCCGCCCCAGGCACCGGCTTCCTGAGCTGTTGCCTAGAGCAGGCCCTGCCAGCCAGAGCTCCTATCCTTGGGAAAATCCTGGGCCTGCTGCTAATACAAGACCATGCATAAGCACTAACTCCAGGGCTGGAGCCAGTGCCGGGTTTACAATGGCACCAGTGGTGCCATGGAGCCGGGCCCATGCTCAGAACGGGTCCGGCCTGCTCTGCTTGCACTGAGCCCCTGCCAGCCACTGGGTCTCGGGGGGGCTCTGGCCAGAGGGAATCAGGGGGAGCGTATTCTAGTGTTGGGCAGGGGGGCTGTGTGGCCCACCCCCGAGGGGAAGAGGCATGCTGGCAGCACAGGGCTGGGTGGGCCATTGTGCGCCTGGCAACTGGCTGGCTGGCCCCTTGCTCTGGGGACTGACTCCCCCCCGCCCCGTGCCATGCTTAATTGCCCCTATGGGGGGGGGGCCCACAAAAGGTTAATCTGGCCCTGGCTGGAGCACCCATGGAAAAAAATAGTGGGTGCTCAGCATCCACTGGCAGTCCTGTGGACCAGCTCCTCTTCCCCCGCAGTGCCTCCCACCCACCAGCCGGCCCCAGTCAGCTCCTCCACTTCCTCCTAGCGCCTCCTGCCTGCTGCAGATCAGCTGTTCAGCAGCATGCAGGAGGTGCGGGGGTGGGAGGGGCATGCTCGGGGGAAGGGGCGGAATGGGGTGGGAAGAGGTGGGGCAGGGGTGAAGCAGGAAGAGGCAGGGTGGAAGTGGGGCCTTGGGGAAATGGGTGGAGTGGGGGTGGGACCTGGGGCAGGATGGGGGTTGAGCACCCGCAGGGAAATGAGGAAGCCGGCACCTATGAGACCCCGTATATTGCCTGTAAGGACTTCATGGAAAATGCCAGGGCAGAGACCAAGAGAGACAAGACACTTATCAGGACAGAGACACTGCCCGAATCAACCCTCCTCAGAAACATCTCAGTTCCAGACCCCACCCAAGGCCAAGGAAACAGTAGTTTCGGGAACCTAGAATCACAGTAATGTGGGACTGGAAAGGAACTTAAGAGGTCATCTAGTCCAGCCCCTGCACTGAGCCAGGATTAAGTACACCTGTACCATGGGTGGCCAACCTGAACCTGAGAAGGAGCCAGAATTTACCAGTGAACGTTGCCAAAGAGCCACAGTAATACATCAGCAGCCCCCCCATCTGCTACCCCCCCCGCAGCCCTCAGCGCCTCCCGCCCACCAGCAGCCCCGCCAATCAGTACCTTTCCCTCCCCTCCCCATGCCTCCTGCCGACCACAATCAGCTGTTTTGCAGTGCGCAGGAGGCTCTGGTGTAGAGGAGCGAGGGCATGACAGGCTCAGGAGAAGGGGCAGTGGCCTTGGGGGAAGGGGTGGAGTAGTGGCAGGATCTGGGGCAGAGCAGGGGGTTGAGCAGTGAGCACCCCACAGCACATTGGAAAGTTAGCATCTGTAGCTCCAGCCTCGGAGTCAGCGCCTATGCAAGGAGCCGCATATTAACCTCTGAAGAGCTGCATGCAGCTCCGGAGCCACAGGTTGGCCACCCCTGACCTATCCCATCTCTGACAGGTGTTTGTCTAACTTGTTCTTAAAAACCTCCAAGTGAGGAAGGCAAGCAGAATTTGGTCCCTAGAGCCTAATTCTGCAGTTGTGATGTGTGCATAAGGCTTATTGATTTCAATGAGAGTTACGTGTGGGGAACAGTTACAGTCAGGCCCTGAAAACAAACGATGCAGAGCAAATCGTGTACCCCTTTCTTTAATCCTCCTTCCTCCCCTGATTATATCTTGGACACATGTCATAATCCCAAACCTCTGACAAGTCTGTTTCTAGAAGAGATATTTCTAATCTTATTACGCAGAAACTTCCTCTGCTGGACCCCCCAAAATAACTATAGAGGCTGCTCCGAAGCCCACTGACTGCAATAGGAGTTTGGATCAGGCCCATAAATTACATATTTCTATGCATTATAACTGAGTCATTAACCCTCGAGGGATAGTGCTATCCTGGTGAAACTCACTTTACAGCCATGCTGTCTTTCCTCTGTAAGAAATATGTTAAGCATATGTGGGACAAAGAGATGGGCCTCAGCTTAATCCAAATCTTTGTTGGTATGAAAGAGAGCGACGCAGGGCTGAATTTGCACTGAAAGAGGTGCTCGGGCTCAAGCAACCTTTTTTTTAAAACTTTCATAACTGACGCATCAGGCTGGATGCCAGAGGTGCCAGGGCTATGAACTGCCAAACCTGGCACAAATTAAGCACTGTAGAGAAGACTTCCCAAGTCACACTGCATAAAAATAAGAATTACGTACTATTCCTGGATGCAGTGTGATTATCGCTAGCCAGTTAACAACAGGCCATGTCAATTACAAAATATACCCTAGTGCATGCAATCAAATCAAGGTATAGAGATCTTAATAATAAAATACCCCATTAAGATGATACAATTTGAACGTGCTAGGCTGCATTACACTACTGCAATCCAAACTTCAGTGCAGCCAGTTTCATGTACATTTTGGTTCTCCAGAGCCCTGGGGGACAATGGATCTTAAACAATTAACCTTTTGCTCTCTTATCTTAAACGTTCTCTTCTCCTCGTTCCTTTCCTCACATTTTCTGCTCCTCTGTGCCTTTTCGCTCTTTCTATTCTCTACATTTACTCAGTTTTATCAGCCCCACACACTTTTTATGTAATGACCCCCAGAGATGATTGAATGCTCTCATGTGTTTCTTCCAAGTGATGATCAAGTAGGAAACCCATGCTCCCTGGATCTACATGGATTGATAACAGTAACACTTCTTTTCAGATGCCTACAATCCAGCCAGAAAGCAAGCAAACAAACAAAAACAAAAAATCCCTTGATTCAGACTTGGAACATGAAGTTCTTAGCCCTGGAATTTATTTTCTTCTAATAACAAAATTCTTAATCAAAGTGCCAGATTCTCAACAAGTATAAATCAACAATCTATACCAGCTAAGGATCAGGTCCAAAATCTTTTTACTCATTTATATTATATTCAAGTGCAGAAAGTACAATAAGAAGCACAAAAGTCCACTCATTTCAACAGCTTTATTCTTCTTCTGTAATTTAAGTGAGTTGTGCAAATCTTTACATAGTCTGTGACCGGCCTTTTGGTGTTTAATAAAAACAAACCAAAACAGTTTAAAGCAGGTGAGCTAACAAGGATGTTCAGATTTTGAGGTGTGGCAAATACCTGGTGCACTCCTATTAACATGCACTCACCAAAATGAATGCAGGTGCCTTGATAGTTTATGCAGGGAACACTTTTTCATAATTACACCCAAATCCTAATAAATCTCCAGAGAACCACCATCATGATAATAAGCCCCAAGAAGCTGCCCCAATATCATGCCAAAAATATTGCGGTAGGCAAAACAAAAGAAACAAAATCTCAGGAATCTCACTCATATAACACCGTTACTCCGATTTGCAGCCACCACAGCAAAAACATTCAGCGTTAAGGCTGAAACTGCATCTTTCACTAATCCTGTAATAGCTGCATATGATATGAATCTGTAAGGAATATATTGAGTGATATTTCATAACATATGTTTCAAATATACAGGCACAACTAGGATGTCTCAGTCTGCAGTTTTTACTAAGATTCGGGGTCAGAGTCAGGGCCCTAGCTGATAATCTGTCAGGGAAGAAGACTGCAAAGGCAGAAAATTGCTACAGCCTCCCTTCCACTAGGGGAGGTGTAAAGAGCCACAATTTCCCCCAAATTTGATTGTGCTAACTGAGAAAGGGCAGCTCTGATTCAGTGCATACCCACATTGCTGCTTTTGCCAGAGAGATTTATGGAGCCCTGATCATAACTAAAAGAACTGAAACCCAAGGAGAGTTGCTGGTGGTGACGTTGCCTGCCTTATATACCAGTAGGATGCCCTGGTGCAGGGAGATATAATTTACCCCTCCTGTGCCAGCACTAGTGAGTCTGGCCATCTGAATTTCTCCTGCCTTTGTGGGTTTAACACTCTTAAGATTACCTGAACTTAATTTTTGGTGTGCTCTGATATACAAGGAAATAAACAAACAAATAGTAGGCCTGATTCTGAACTCCTTGATCCAGAAGCCAATGGGAGTTAAGCTTAAGCAAAGAGTTCAGGATTTGACCCAGACAACAATCAAGTGGTTGGCTGTTCTTAGCACTACTGAACTATTAGTCAAACCAGTGGTCTCCCATGCAGGTCCTGTTCCACTCTAAACCACAGTTCCAGCACCACTCAAATCTGCACTGAGCTCGAGGACATTTCATGTGCATGCATCCACCTGCAAAAAAGCAAAGAAGACAGAATTGTCTTTGGGCCTTAGCAAACAATGTAAGGAGAATGTGTATAAGCCGGTTAACCAGTGGTCATTGAAATTCATTTCTAAGTACTAGATTATGCCCATTAAGCTCATCTATAGAGTAAGGGGTGGTACAGAACTGCTGAATCCCTTCCTGGAGCTCTCCAATACTTGTCACTGTATCCCTTTACGGGACGTGGCTTGCTCCTCGCTGCTAGCTGGTCATACTCCACAGGTTGGAGGAGTAAGGACTGCAGCTCTGCCTGACCCTTAAAGAGACTGTAAAAAGAAAAGGAGTACTTGTGGCACCTTAGAGACTAACCAATTTATTTGAGCATGAGCTTTCGTGAGCTGCAGCTCACTTCATCGGATGCATACCGTGGAAACTGCAGCAGACTTTATATACACACAGAGATCAGGAGGTATTGTTTTATGATCTCTGTGTGTATATAAAGTCTGCTACAGTTTCCACGGTATGCATCCGATGAAGTGAGCTGTAGCTCACGAAAGCTCATGCTCAAATAAATTGGTTAGTCTCTAAGGTGCCACAAGTACTCCTTTTCTTTTTGCGAATACAGACTAACACGGCTGTTACTCTGAAACCTGTCATTAAAGAGACTGTGCAAGGTATTGAGAAGGATTCTTGTACCCTCCTCAACTAATCACATAAGGACTAAGTGATACTGTATCTGGTCCTTAGAAATAGCTCACAACTAGATGAAGAGCTGATAAGAGTGCATCAAAATTCAGTTCTTAACTGGAGTTTGGATTTAACAGCTGTGAAATTGCAAACAGAATACATCCAGATATACAGATTTTAGTGATGGATTGATATTTATCTCAAAATGGCACTAGCAGTTAAAGTTGGATGGCCTTCTTTACATCTGAGGATTCTTTTAATCACATTGGTATGTTTCCTATTTTTTTTGTTAAGTGTTTTGCATTTCCCTGTACTTTGAATAACTTAATCTCCATGCCCCTGCCTTCAATCACTTTTTTTAAAAAAATGGCTATACATTAAGAGTAGCCAATGGTCATTAGAGCAATGCACGTCAAATGGTAACTATGTCAACTATAAAATGAAATCTCCTGTCTAACTCAAGCCTAAATGTACAATATAAACAAATGCTGAAAATGAAAGTCCTGACAATATATCATGATCTCTGGATTTGTACATAGATTAAACTCCAGATGACTAATATAATCTCTTGTAAACACAGAAAAGCCAAAATTTGGTATTTAGATGCCTATTGTGTAGATAAGGTATATTACCCTTACTGATGTGACACATTTTAGGACAAATTGGGTATTTAGGATGTCTACAGAGAACTGGATATTTCTACCCTTGTTAATATTTAACAGCAAAAAATTTACTAGTATTATTCTTTCAGGACAACCTATAGTTCTACAGGATAACCACGTTCACGATCACCTGTGAGTAGAGTTGTGCAAAGAATGAACATTTTATTATGTGGAAGATTTCAAGATTCTAAATCTTGTTTCATACTGATTCAAAATGAAACCCAAACATTGTGAAATTCTCTGCAAAAGAAAATTCCAGAAAAACATTAATTTTGGACTGATCGAAACATTTTGTTCAAATAAAATCAAAACAATTCATTTTTGAATTTCTTATTTTATAATAAACAAACAAATAATAAAATCTGAAATGAAAAGTCAAAAAGAAAATAAAAGAAAATCAAAACCTTTTGTTCTGACAATGTCAACATGGATTTAATTTGTAAGTGGTAGCTTGGATTCTTTTCCCCCAGAAAAGAAATTGCAGAGAAATTGATAGGATTTCTCAAAGTGTTTTTGATTTCAACCAAACTGCATTTTTTAAAGGAAAGCTGTTCCATCAAACTTTTACTGACCAGCTCTAACAGTGAGGTTTACACTTGCCAGGTTTGTATATCCTGCGTGTGGCGGTTTCCTGATTTCAACACACTGCTGTCTAAGGTTGTGTGTGTAAGTACTATGGGGAGGGATAAACACTGAACAGAGATAATGGACAAAATTTAAAGGGCAGACTAAAGACTCATGGCTTGATTTAAATAAACTGACAATCTGAAATCACTGCTGCGGAAAGAAAGAAGACAGCTGAAAGTGTAGACAAGTGAGAGTTGACAGTGCCTAGAAGAACATACACTATTTTGATTTTTTTTTTCAGTGTCTAATGGTATTCTATTTATATTAGGGTTTCTTATCATGGACATCACTGTAGTACCTAAGCACTTTTGAGATGCAGTATTTTAGACCTGTATAATAAGGTTCCTAATGGACTCCAGGGAGTCTTCTGCTCTTCCTCAGTCTGAGCTCCAGGAGTCGCTGCTTGCGGTGTGTGTCTATCCTCGATGAGTGTTTTATATATATAATGCTATAAATCATCCCAGTTATGGTGGGAAAGCTTTATTAAATAGGAGAGTCTTACAGCACACCTTGAAGATGATCTGGCCCCACATTAGACTAATCTCCTCTGGAAGCTCATTCCATTGCAGAACCCCTTTGATTCAAAATGCTTTTGTGACTTTGTCTAATTAAAATATAACTATGCAAATCATTATTGCTACCACTGTTATATAATACATGGCCAGAAAGGGTTAAACAGCTTGCAGGCTGAATGACCCAAAGCCAACCTTTAAATTCATGTTAAAAAGGTATGCAAATGGTAATTAGGGTCATTCAATGTTAGATTGGCTAGAACTTTGAAATGCAAACCTATATTGTTAGAAATTAGAAGTGATACTAATTGTCTGTGTGTACTCATAAACGTTAGCCATATAAACAGACAGTTCCTGTCTGCCACTATAACTATTAATTCACAGATCAAAAGGGAGTATTAACATTTAGATGAATCTTGGGTGAAATAATGTCATTGTCTATATGCCTCTTTGTGATAGACTGCCTAATGGATAAATTGCCCTATGTTAATTTGTGTAATTAGTTACCGGTGGTGCTTAGGAAACAGAAGGTTACATCAAAAGCCTGTTGTTTACCCAGGACTGTATGGCTGCTAGAAAACTGTACAAAAGACCCTTGGATCCTGATCCTGTCATCTCAGATATGCTTAAACTTCATCTGGGGAAGTTTGAGTTGCAAGATTGAGATCCCAGTTAAGCTGGAATACCCTGAATATGATATTGGACATTGGACTATAACCTATGGACTAAATTCTAAAAGAACTCTTTGCAACTACGAAGCTTACCATCTCTGCTATGAATCTGAACCTCAAGAATTGAACTCATGTCTGTATGTATATTGATCTTTTAACCATACTCTCTCTTTTCTTTTTTAATAAATTTTAGTTTCGTTAATAAGAATTGGCTGTAAGCATGTATTTGGGTAAGATCTGGAATATTCATTAACCAGGAAGGTAATGTGTCCAATCCTTTGGGATTGGTAGAACCTTTTCTTTTATATGATGAATAAGATTTTCATTAATCCTCATCATATCTCATTTGGGTGACTAGGTGTAGGCCTGAGGCTGGGTTACTTTAAGGGAACTATGTTGTTGACTTCTGAGTAACCAGTGAGGTATAACAGAAGCTGTTTTGTGCTGGCTTGGTAAATCTAAGTATTGGAATATCCACTAGTTTGCGGGATTGCTTGACCCATGCTTTGCAGTTCACCCTAATTGAGTGACCTCAGCTGGCTCCCCTGGGATCCTGGTTACAGTTTTATTTCCCAGCTCATAAGCATTTGATCCTGTCCCATTGTCCCACAGGACTGCATCTGTTTTGACAGGTTGTGGATTGAACTGATGGAGCTGGATCTTGACCTGTTGATGGCTCTGCAGATAAAAATCAAGGCCTTCAACTGACAATGGAAGTGGGGCTGGAACAAGTGGAGGGATTTGAGCAGAGGGACATGTGATCACAGCAGCCAGTCCTGCTGAGGAGGTATCAGATTTAAAAAAAAATTTTTTTCAAAGAATTAGACAGATTATTCCATTTTGTAGGAAGACTGATAGTGAGGCACTGATCATTTCTGTTAGCAGTGGACACTGTTGTTTTCTGGCTTTCACCAGCCAGTAGGGAAACATCCAATTTGTAGGTGGTAGTTTGGATATTTCTCATTCATATAGTGTAGAGAAATGTAAGAAATTTCTTCTTGCCAAAATGGTTACATTTTCCAGCAAAGTAATTTGAAGCGGAACAAAATAAAGTGCAGAGCTCTGCTGTGATCTCACTTTATATTTTAACATCAATGATTCCTTACATTGATACGGGATAAAACAGAATGTGTTAAATAAGGCTGTACTGTTAAAGGATGCATTAGCATCCTTTTGATTTTGTACCAAGAAAAACTTGACCAAAATATAAATCTGTAGATTATGGGTCACATGACACTGGGAACAATGGGTTGCAAGCAGTCAGCAAATGCCAGCACAGAAGCTGGAACGTACTGTACCCATTATCAGAGGATGAAGCAAGCACAGCACCTTTTTATACTTCAGTTCCACTACATCTAAGAATTCCTAACTTGCTACTATTGCTTGGGGATTTTGCATTCTGACACATCCCTTGTCCTTGACCTGGGTTGGGTTACAAACAAGGGAAAGTCTTGTCCTGTTCATAGCCAGTTTGTGGAACAATTCTCTTTACAGTAGTGCACAGAAAAAAAATAGGAGGATCTATTCTCTTCTTGATCTGAGTGGTGTATGCAAGCAATGTCCATGACCATTCGTGGGAGTAATACAAATATGTTCTTCATGCATCTAGCAGAGAAAAGAACAGGTAGTTTTCTGTAGATTAAAACAGAGATTCTGTTGCACACACTGGCGATGAGAAGGTCATGACCTCAGCACTGCTCCCAGTGTGGCCAGTGGCTTTATGGTGATGATTTCTATCTTTTCTACACCTATTCAAGAGCTGTATTTTTAAGACTAATTTTTAAGGTTCTCAGTAATTAAATCCTCTTCTACCTCTTTGTCCTCTTCCTCCTACAGGCCCACTTGCTAACAACACTCCAAGTCTTATCCCCCTTTCTCACTCTTGATTTCGTGCTTTCATTCCTGACGCTCTTTGTGCTTGGATAAGTCTCCCACTTTCCATCTGACAAGTGTCCTATGTATTCCTTCTTCAAATCCCCTTCTTCCTACTTCCTTTCTAATAATCTCTCCACTCCTTTTTCTATCTGAAGCGTTAGCTTCTTGGGGTCGGCAGCATGTCTTACTCTGTGACTGTAAAGCCCTGTGTGAATAACTGGTGTAATCAATTAGCAGCAGCAGTAGTAATTAATATTCATATTGTTGCTTCTTTTTTGAGCCAAGCCGCTCAGCAAAGTTCAGTGTTCTGGAGATGTTCCTGCTGGAAGCAGAAATTGATGGAGTCTGGTACTTTCTTTGATGCAATCTTGTTTATTTAAAAGTAATGTGTGTCTGAGTGCAGAGGTCACCAAGAACCAAAAAAGCAGTTTCTTAGCTTACAACCTCAAGCCTCTGCAGCCAACACTAGACTCAAAGTTCTCACTTTAGCTTTTTCCAGGGTCACACTGTGCTTACTGGTCATTGTTTGGCTTTCTTCCTGTTTACCTTTGCCTCCTGCCTTCTCTGTTCTTGTCTATTTTCTATTTCTGGGTTCTGCCTGCCTTCCTCCCTCCTGCCCAAAACAAACAACCCCCCGCCCCCCAATACTCAGCAAAAATGCTCGCAGCCACACAATCCAAAACTCCTGGGTGGACTTTATCAGGCCTTGCTGTAGGAGCTATGTGGGGAGCACATGCATGTGGGTCCAATTATCCCCCAGCAGGTGCTGCAGGGGGGTGTCTTGCTAGTGGGGAACACTCAACCCTCCAGCTGAGGCATCTTGGCACTTTCTTCTGCTCTCAAGGTCCCAGATAAAACCACAAGACAGCCCACAGTCAGCAAACAATGTTAAGTGAAGGTATGAAGGAAAAGAAAGGAAAAATACCCTGTAGGTAGTTCCCATCAGGATCAGGGCCTCTCTTACATCTCAGGGCCCTGGGAGTATCACAGTCACTTCAGAGTTCACTGGGTGTCCAGTGCAAGTTTCAGTCTTTTCCCCCTTTGGGGCTGGAAAATGTGATGGGGCAAGGCCAGATGATTATGGAAAAGTAGTGGGAGATAGTTATATTAGCTCCAGGCTAAACAAATCCCTGGTACCAGGTTAAGTGAAATGGAAGCTGCTCCAAGTCAATTAAGACACCTGGGGCCAATTAAGAACTTTCCAGAAGGCAGGGAGAAGGCTAGGTTGATTGGGACACCTGAAGCCAATCAGGGGCTGGCTGAAACTAGTTAAAAGCCTCCCAGCCAGTCAGGTGGGTGTGCATGTCAGGAGCTGTGGGAGGAAGTTGCACTGTTGGAGAGGCTGAGCAGTACACACCATATCAGGCACAAGGAATGAGGCCCTGAGGTAAGGGTGAAGTGGAGCTTGAGGAAGTGAGGGCTGCTGTGGGGGAAGTAGCCCAGGGAACTGTACATATCATGTTTCTAAAAGGTCAGCTACCATAGCTGATACTATTAGGGTCCCTGGGCTGGAGCCTGGAGTAGAGGGTGGGCCTGGGCTCCCCCCCCCCACCTTTGCCCCCTGATTAATTACTGAGACTGGGAGACAACAGAGACTGTGCAAGGAAGGATAACTTCTCCTCACCTCCCTTGCTGGCTTATGATGAAAATGGCTCAGTAGACTGTGACCTTTGTCTCTAGAGAGAGAAGGGTTACGTGGAGGGTCACAGTGAGCCTCTGAGGCTAGCGAAATCCACCAGAAAACGGGAGACCCATGGAGGCAAGGACAGAGCTTAGTCACAAAAAGCTCAACGGCTGGTTCCCTTCCTTAACTATCTCACAATTATTTTTGTAAGTGAAAGGTGTATTCACACATCAATTTCAATGAGGTTTTGTATTAACCTACAACAAGGTTTATCCCAGCTCATAACACTATGTCATCATTCAGTTAAGTTGTGGTAAATACCTCAGTATAGTTTGTAACACAAACATTATGAGCAAGAATAGTAACTCTGGAGTAATTCACATTAATTCTTTATGTTACATCCTGGTCTTGTGTACAGTGGTAAATAATACATGTCGGTTCATTCCTCCCTGTACCCACTCAACTCACACTAGTGTCAATGTTTGCTTCTCTTCACACATGCCCAGACTAGTGATTTGCTTAGGGAACTGGCTGTTACCACTCGATTCTTCCACTGACTCACTGTTTGATTTTGGGCAGCCCACTTAAGGCACTCAGCCTCATTTCCCCTGTCTATAAAACAGATAATTCCTGCCTACCTAGTCACAAGAGTCTTCTGAGGCTTAATCAATGGTTTTAAAGCACTTTGTGATCCTTGCATGGAAGGTGCTATTCTAAGTGATTCAGAAACCGTATTATAGGGAAGACTAGGCTCCCTTTGTGCCTCTCTCTCTTTAGGTAAGCACAAAATCATACACATAGCTATATATACATTAATATTTGGACTGTAAAATTAATTTTAAAAAGGGAGGTTACTGCAAGTGTTAGTTACTCTCCAATAAACTCACCATTTTTTTCTATTGGTACATGGCAACTAGGACATGGTTTGGTTGTTTTCTTGATTGTTTCCCTGGATGCCTCCTCCCACCGTGCTTGCATGGCTGAATGCGCATCAGTCTTATATCCCTGCAAAGAGAGAAGCAACTGTGAGTACAATATAGCCAAGTTCCTCAGGGAATCAAGATCTGAAGCATGGTTGTGGCTATTTACTAGAGTGATACAGACAGAAGGGTCTAAAAGTTCAATAAAACTGGAATTCTGCCCCTGCTGCCTCGTAATTTAACCCATTTTGGTATGACAGAGAAAAATATTAAGATGATGGAAAACTGCTGAGTCATGTACAGTACAGTTGGAGGATGGAGAGAGCTCAGTCCCTATGCAGGAAACTATTTGCCTCTGCTTTGCAACATGAAGCATGTTCCTTTGTTTTTGAGTTCTGGATTTTATTCAAATACATTATATTTCTGGTTACGTGCACAAGCTATGCTAATAAAGATTAGAGAACAGGTACAAGAATACTGGAGAGGAAATAATAAGGAACCGATGAATAACAAAGAAAGAAAACATCCCCTCAAATAGTGCAATGTTGATAGCAGGAGTCACCATGGAGCATGCATTAAAAGTGACTCCCGTGTTTGTCCTATTTCTGATTGATATAAAATTACCTAATCTACACAGGTGCCATACTTGAGAATGCCTTAGCAATTTTTGACCTTAAATGATAATATAAGGACAAAAGGGATGATATTGTCATTAAATTTCTATAGTTCAAGGTTTGGAAAATAGATTGCTGATTTCCTTTGAAATATTACTGTGTAAAAACACGTAAGCCAGAAACTGTACATGATTTAATGAAGTATGATTCTCATCAATTGTGTAACTAGAGACTGAGAAGGCTCTCTCGGAAGGCGCACTGGATGCGGGGATGGAATGCACAAACAGTGCAACTCGACTGAGCAGGGGAATGTTGTACTTGTGTTGTCTCCACTACTTCAGCAGTTGCATATCTTCATTCTTTGTCAGCTTCAGGGTGATATGGTTAGACTCGTCGTCATTGTCAATTCCACACTCGCTATCCGAATTCTCAAACTCTGTATATGGCCATTTTGTCTCCGCTGGTGATGGTATCTGTGTATCTGACGAAACCAGCATAAGATTGTTTGAGACAAGATTGCAAAGAGACAAGCTTTTTGGTCTCTTGATCAACTTCCTGTCTCTCCTCTCCAGTGAAAACTTTCATCCCCTACATTCGTGGGTGCAGGGAAACTGCTACTCTGTGCATAGGCTTGATTTCAAACTTTTTCATGAGACATTGCAAGGCTTTGGATTTGAGCTGACTTAGACTATCTTCATCAGTGGTAGAAGGATGGAAAAGCTTTTTTATCCTTTCGTGGCGAGTGGACGATGATGATGATGATTGCTCTAGTGCATCTGATGCTAAGTCTGTTAAGATGCTCAAGGTGTTGTGATCAAAGCTATCAATGAACTGCGTATCCTCCTTTTCTGTCAAAATTTCATATACTCTGTCTCACTGCTCCTCGATTGTTTTAAACGTGAGTAGTTTGCTGTTCCATTATGTTTCTACATTTCTTTCCAGAGACTTCTGCAGTCTGCTTTGAAGTCCAAATCTCCCGATGTAAGTCATGAGACATCAGCTTGCCTGGATAAGTTGGGTTATTGCTTCTTCTTTCTGGTTTCCCGGTTTGGTAGTGTGCTCAAGCACGGTATTTATAATGTGCACTGAGCAGCTTATTCACACATAGGACTTGAAAGTTGCAACCATGTTTGCTCCCTGGTCACTAATGAAAACCATCTGGTTGGTAATGCTGCGTATAGCAAATCTTCTGAGTGTCTGAATAACAGCCGATCAAATGTTCTCTGCAGTTTTTGGTTTCCCGCTGTCAAACAGAGTCACACAAAGCGCCCACTCCACCAAACTGTTGTGGCTCTATCTAATGAACAGTTTACTCCCAAACATGCAACATTTCTGTAATCATCCATCCACAGATTGAGGCACAACACCCAATGTGCCAAGAATGTTTTTCAGCTCCATGGAGATTTGTTGTCTTTTTTTCCTTCTGCCACAAGTACAGCATGCCGGGCTATAGTTGTGGACTGTGGTATTAGCACACCTGCATCCATTTGACCATATTTGGCACCCATGTTAATCAAACATTAAGCATATGCAAGGAAGCCCTTGCCTGTTGAATGGTGATTTGCTACCTCTCAGACTCCATGGACTTTCAGAATGCTCAGTAATTCAAAAGGGGGTTGCTGGTTCCCAGCACAGATGCACAGAGGATGTGCAAAGAACAATGCAGAATAGACAGGAATGGCGGAGCTTTGTTTGTGCCCTAAGCAACATCTTACAGGAAGGAGTCGGCTAAAACGCACTTCTAAAATGACTGCTATACAACTGTACATTAGCAGCTTCTCAGAAACAAACAAGCAATGATTGTAAATAGTGACGAAAATGTTATATTAGTCCTGCATCTGCCTACTCTTTAAAGTAGAATGACCTAGGACAGCAGTCTGAACTGCCTCTGTGAGCGGAAAGGACCATTTGTTTGAGCACAGAACTAGAAACTAGGAACACCTGAGTCCTAATCTAGCTCTCATACTGACTCCCTTAGTACGTAAAGGAAAGTCACATAACCTCTCTGCATCCATTTGCTGACCTGCAAAATGAGAGTGACAATAACTTCACAGGGTATAGTGAGAGTTAATTACCTACTGACTGTAGAGACAATTAAAGATGAAAAACACAGCATAAGTAAGTACTATTATTGTGTGTGTAGACTAATATCTGCAAGAGAGAAACGCGTGTAATTTTTGGATTCAATCCAGCAAAACTTGAATGGCAATGTTTTACCTAAACTGAGCTAATCAAAACTATACGAATCAATGCTTGGAAGTGTCCTTTTCCCACATCTGTCTTCTTTGTTGTGGCCTCATAATACCAGGCGCTGCGCCAAAATCTCACATGCCAAATTGTTAACTTGATTTGTATCACTTGTGTTTGATCTTGATTTTGAAAACAAATTTGAATTTGGGAGAGGATCAGTTTACAAGTAATTAAAAAGCTTAATAACTTTCAAGTCTGAATATGTATACCATTCAATGAGACAGACCAAACTGACTTTTTAAAAGACTGAATGATTACACTGGTGTTTTTCCACTGCAAAGAGTCTATTATGCAACAGAATAATAATTTCAGTCTATTAGAGCTTTAGACACCCTCCCTACCCTTCTCTGACTGCAAAGTTAAAAACCACTTCTTACAGGAAATAAATGTGAAGAAATGGCGCACAGTGGCCCTGTTCTTCCTGAATCAGTAAAGAGATCATATCTATCCGGATGAGTCAGCCTCAGCCTAGAATACATACTGTATATATTTTCATCTAATTTATTCCACAAGAGGAACAATAGAAAAATAAAGACAGTTTCTATGGCATTGGGGATATCTGTAAAATACCAAGGACTGACTCCATCTTTTCTAAGTGGCCCAGCAGAGAATAAGAAGCATTTTTACAATGTAAACAAGCAGATAGAATATGATGTCTGGAATACTACTGAGTGGAAAAGGACCTGAGAACTCCCCGTGTGATGCTGTAGCCAAAAGGGCTAATGCAACCTTTAGATGTATAAACAGGGGAGTCAGGCAAAATGTCAATGGAATGTGAAGAGTGACTTTTGTTGCTGCAAAATAACCTTCAGAAATTGCTTCATATTTTTACCGAACCCTGTGGAAGCCCTACAGAGCATCTACAGTCATGGCTTAGGAGTTGCCAGTGTACTGCAGAACACTGTGGCCAAAAGGAAAATTATCCTAATAGAAGATCTGATTGCTTTGAGATTTATTGGAGAGGAAGGGGCAGGGAAAGGAGTCAAGATGGTAGCAAAATAGGTCTGAAAGAAGCAGTTCACCGATAGAAGTAGAGGTGAGAGAAAAGAAGTGAGCTTTTTGTTTCTGTTTTACATCATTAAAACTCCCTGTGGTATTGCAGTCTCATGTACTATAAAACTATTGAGGGCTTCTGAAGACAATATAAGTACATAATACTGTGAAATAGCCTGATAAAACACACAGTGGAGTTAACATTTCTGCTAGTCTGTGACTTATTTGTCTCCATCCCAACAGCATTCTTACATACATTTGATTTGTCCATTATCACATACTCTGGTCTTTTAATTTCAGTTTGTGTGACCAGGCTGAGCCAAAAGAGAGAGAAATCATAAAGAATACTGCAAAATTATTGGATTTTCCTTCTTCCTCCTTCTCTAGGACCATCCATTGCCAACAGATGGATGCCCATTTTTATCAGTTTCAAAATTGACTTCAGCGGTACTAGTGCACAGCAGAAAAGCTCTGAAGAAGTTCCTTGCCTTATGGGTCTTTGAAATGGCGTTAAATGCTGCAGCTTCCTGACACTCATATAGGTTTTACTGAGAAAGAGTGAGATCAAGAGAGCATGTGCACAGGCATCAAATCCCTGTTCTCCTAGTACACCCAGAAGGCATGCTTAATTAGAACAGGATCTCTGAAACAAAGAGTTTGTGGGGAAAATCCAAAGCTGCTGTAAAACAGCATAGCTCCACTGAAATCAACAAAGTTCCACTGAGTTACACCAGCTGAGGATCTGAGAAAGACCAAGATGCAGTATGGTACTATATGGCTAACTCTGCTGGAGACAGATGCAGATGTATTTGCCCAGGACGCCCAGAGGAGCTCTGAGCCCCACAATGAGCGGAGGTGCAGGGAAGCTTAGACTCCCCCAGTCTCCATTATACACTGCCCATGTCTAAAGTGATATTTGCAATGTTTTTCAGCATAGAAATCAAGCCAGGATCTAAGCTTGCATGAGAATGAGCCTATATGAGAGGTCATAATAGTGTGGAATCCAACATATACATGTTCCTCCTGATGATTCATGCCCCATTTGAAGATTTAAGCAAAAAGCAAATGTGACACTTCCTTTCCTATTAATAAACCAGCTTCTTGCTCCCTCTTGCGTATTTTAATATAATATTTATATTACACAAGCTCCTACATGCCACATTCAGGCTGTATCCCATTGTGGTAGGTCCTGTATAAACATATCAATGGCAGTCCTTACCCTAAAGAA